ATTGAATTAAACATGTTCAGACACTCTTGTCCTTACTTTGAAATAAAGATTAACTTGATTAAGACCAGTCCAATTCAAAGTGAACGTTTTCTACACAGTTTTCATGTGGATTATTCAGCCCTTAATAAATTCCTCAATATATTTCTGAATTAATTTCTTGAGTGCCACTAGTGGACAAACCCTTAGGGACAATCTTTCCATAAGCTCTTTTGGGATGCTGACAAATCACCCACAGTAAATAAAGTGTTCAGTGAGAAGCCTCTCTAATAAAGCTCTCTATCTGCCAGATTCAGAGAGCATCAGAAGGGAAATCCAAAAGTTGTAGTCTATGGGAGGGAGATGTTGAACTGTTCTCTTGCAGCTGCTGTTCCAGACATGTGGCAGCAGTAGCTGTAAGTACTCTAGGATGAATACAAGAAGTACAGACCACTGTTTCTGTAAAAAGCCAGACTCTCTTGACTGTGGTTCATTGGACTGTCACCTTGTGTGCTGGCTCGTGACACAGTACCACAGAGGACTTTCTCTCCCTGCAGATGCTGGTGAAGGAGAGGGAAAATGTGTCAAAAGTTTTTCTAACAATTCATTGATGTTAAGGACTCTTTTGCTAGGACTCTTAGGCTGAACAGTTCTTTTCTGATTGGATATATTGTCAGGCTTAATTTCTCCATCACCTTTGAGATAATTGGGGATTTTTGTTATTGTTGCTGGACTTTGTTTTGGTTTTGGTTTTTTTTTTTAATTTATCATTTTTCAAATCCTCCATAACCTAAAATAGAAGCAATCAAGGTTTTGTTATGTGGTAATTACACTATAATTATAGGTCTGGTTTTTAAGTTGTTGAGAGTTTTGGAGAAAGCAAATTTTAACCTCACCTAAGAAGATCAACATGAGATACAATTTGCCTTTGAACTAGTTATTAACTTTGAAGCCTGATGTTGGTACACAGTTTTCCAAACACAGGTAACATCTAACTGCTGAATGCTAAATAGAAATTTCCTGTTTCTTCACACCTAAAGACTTTAGTTTTATTTACACTCCTACCTTTTCTAAATATGGAAACAGTAATGAAAAAAACCCCTGTTGAGGAAATTTACCCTGTGGAAAAATGGCTTTTTAAAAAAAGTATCATGTTTTGAGAACCTCATCTATCTGAATACAGAAATGTCTTGAAATTGTTTTAAATTGTCCAATTTGATTAAAAATAAGTCTAAATTGTAGTGTAAATACCACAAGGAAGGAAGAGGTTGCAATGAAAGGCTTCTCTCTGCTTTTCCGTGATGATTGGTTGAAAAGAGAGAATGACCCAGCTTCAAGGAACTAAGTTCTTGTCTACCAAGATCTTTGAAAAGCCAAAGCCTTTTTTTTATCTACACCACCTGTTGTTACTGTGGGTTAGTTGCTATCTGTCAATGTTAGCTGATATGTAGATCAGTAAAAACATAGAGGTTTCTAAGCATGATCATTCATAAAAACAAACCAAGAAAGTCTTGGGGTAGCATACATTCCAAATTACATGCCATGAGTATACATTATGCAATTGTATCACTTTTTTTTTCCACAATCCACTGTGAAATGCAAGAGAACATGATCTTACTGTATGCCTGGAGAATACAACAGACTTTAAATATGTTTCTGTTAAGGATGGAGAGGAATGTTCTCTTCCTCAGAGCAGGAAATCAGCAAACATCAAAATACATGACTTTTCATTAGAGGAAAAAAAGGAATTAAAGGGTTTAAAAAGAAAATATGCACCTGTTGTGTATTTCCTAAAAGATATTGCTGCTGTTACACTTACAGAATGGATGGATCTTTAGCTTTAAGCAAGTTGTGCAATTTAGGGGTCACTGTACAAAAGAATCATAGAATGGTTTGAGTTGGAAGGGAACTAAAAGATCATCTAGTTCCAAAGAATGAAAGAATGCCATATGTCATCAATCAGGGTTCCAGAAATAGGTTGCTTACAACATTCATCCACTAACTCATTTCCTTGAAAAGCAAAAGGATCACAAATGAAGAAAATCCAGACATTAAATTGCTGTCTTGAAAAAAGGGAGAGAAGTTATAAAATAATCTCTAGGCTATGACAAAGCATGAAAAATTTGCTAAGATTCATGAAACTATATGAAAACAATGATAAAGACAGATGCCAAAAAAGAAAATGTAGAATTAACAATTAAAAATATTAAAAATGCATTCAATTTTACAATCTTTATTCAAGGTCAGATAACTCCTTTTTTACACAAACAAGTTGAGACATTTACTGGTTTCTTTCAAATGGATGAAGCTAAAAATTGTCTCTTTTTTTTTTTTTTACTTTTAGATTGTGTGTGGTAATTTTCATGCCCACTGCAAAACAGACTTGAACTTCTACATAAAGACAGATGAGACATGGAGAGTTGCACCTGACATCTCAGTCCTGTATCCCAGACTCATTACCCACTTGTTATATTACAAAACAAAGTTGAATGCAATCTGGACATGTAAAATACCAACCAACATGCAACTTTTATAAATCAAACAAAAATTATCAATTTAACATACATTACTGAAATTACTATGCTATAGGATGTAAAAGATACACAAATACCCTAAAATTGCTAAGGATTATTCTTTAATTCAGTTTAACTCTTCAGTGAACAGTAGTATTACTATTAAAAAATGTTTTGTCCTCTCTCAAGGTCCAGCCTCAGGCCAAAACAGTATTTGTGAAAACAGCAGAAAGACTTTTTCATCCCACTCACCACACAGAAACCCACTTATAGTTTGGTGGAGAAAAATAGAATAGAGAGAAAAATATGAACTTTGGTACAAATGCTACAAGATGAAAGTGATATAGTTAATACAGAAGGATGAACATCACTCTTATCTCTAGGGTGAATGCCAAGTAAGATCTTGAAAGTTCTTGAAATCTGGGAGTTGAAATCTAAATTAATGCTGGTAAAAGAATGGCTCATATGAATGAGTCTAGTTATTTGGTATCCCTCAATAACAGAAACCTTCCTCACCAAGCCCTTCTATTTTCTCTTTTCTCATGAATTCCTAATCATTTGAGTGATTTCCATCCTGACAGTTCGGAAGGTGGACAGAAAATTTATGGTACAGTCATCGCAGCAGGGAATTGCAAATCATACTCCCTGATTTCATTACATCTTTGATAATTTGGAGAGAGATTGTTAGGAGGAGTAATTGGGCTGTAAACATTGTCTACATACCAAATTGGATCTTTGATGATGACCGGAAGATGCAAGTGATGAGAAGAGAGCAAGAAGCTTTGTGAAACAAGATCTCCTGTAGGAACATGGAATGTAGACCACCAAGCATTTGATATGAAATGCAAACACCACCCTTTTAATAACATTTGAATACTGAGATATGTTGCAATATTGAAATGGGTGACCTACAGAAGAAAGGCTTTGAACCCTAATATTGAGCAGCAGAATCAGCCTTCTCAGAAACAGAACTTAAATGGTATTTAATAAACACTATAGATTTTTATTACTTAAAAAGTAATAAAAATATTTTCATTTCTTTCAGAGAAAGTTTATAATTTGATGACTTCTGCATGAGAAACAAAAGAGTAACAGATTACTTACATGGGCTAAATCTAGATTTCCCTAGTCCCTTAGGCAATCCTGACCCAAGTAGTATCTAAGCAGATTCAGGGGCCAGCTTTGCATCCCATGAGTTTATCCATGTGCCAGGGAAACAGGATTTGATCCCATATGTAACTTGCACTGACATCCGTGGGAGTCTAGCAGTTGGAAGGGCCAGAGATGCAAGTTTTTATCTGTGCACAGTTTCCACAATGAGATATGCAGGAATACCAAAGAGTACAGATGCGAATCTGTTCCAGTATAATAAGAGACATAATTTCCATCATACTGCTATATTTTTGTACTTACTTCATTCGTGAAGCCTAGCCATGAAAATGAATATGGATATTGCATCACCTTCTTTCCAAAGGCATCTGATACTATTTCTCTTTGCACAGAAATATATAAGTTCTAATCCACTTACAGAGAGAATTAATCAGTTTGTTTAAACAAAACAATCTTTGTAAACGAAAACTAATAGTTTCACTGAAACTAGATCCTCATCTGTAGCCATTGACTCCAGTAGGCTTTGTATCAGGCCCTAAAACAGGCATGGGTCAGTCTCACTTCCAGAAAGTGTAGCAGATATGGAGTCTGAAGTTGCACAGACTTTGTAAATATTTATTACAAAATGGACATAATTTTTTTTAGATCAAATACATGATTTACCACAGGGAATGTATGTGATCGTTTGTGAGTGTGTCAATGTTTCTTTGATTTCTAAGTTTTCTTTTCTAAGTACCTTCATATGTACCTTTTGACCACCTGTTTCAGAGTAGCAAAAAATGCAGCTGAAAAGTGATATTAAAAAGTAAGTACATTAGTGGTATCTTAAAATAGCCCAATGCTGTAATTTTTTTATGCCAGCATGTTAGCTGCTTTTTGGGGCTTCTTTACCTGGTGCTATGCATGGTAACAGCATTACAATTTAAATATTTATGGCAAGTCATCTGTAAATAGCTAAAACTGAGATCTAAAAATCCTCATTAACATAATGTAAATGAAGTGAAATCCATAGATCTGTTTCTTGTTTAGTTTGGGGGAAAATAACCAAACAACCCAGCCCAAAAGAGCTGAATATGTTATTTCACATATGACTAAACAGTTTGGCTGCTGGGCATTGAGAGAACCTCACAATTTTGGATATATCAACAAAAAAGTATTGTCTTTGTGTGTGATCCTGTGTATTTTGTGTGAACATTTTCTGCATGTAAAGGGCTCCTGAACCAGTTTGTGTGATGGGCCAGCATGTGAGGTTTATTTTGAGTGTCTAAACCATTCACAGGATGCAAATGGTGAAATGGAGTTCTGGTAATCCTCTGGTTTAAAAGATTCTCTACTGGGGCCTCTAATTTACAGATATTTACCTTTTGTTCTGGATCCTTTCTACTAGAATTTAAAGGAAAAAAACCCAGTCTATTCCTGGAGGAGAAAAGTATTCATTGCAAGTGAATAAGGCTTGACTCAGCTTTCCCTGAGAAAACCCCAGGGACCGGGTCCTTAAAGAACATCAAACAGCAACAAGGACAAGGAAAGAGGGAAACAGGACAAGAAAGAAGAATCAGAGAGGAAATGCTTCTGTGTAACTTAGACACATAAGACAGTCAATACCACTACTTTTTTCTGATGAAAAACTATTCAGTCACACAGGTGGTATGAGGAAGCTCTATCCTCAGTAGTTCATTCATGAAAAAAAATCTTTTTTAAATTTAAATCAGCCCACCAGATAGACTGGTACAAATACATTCCTAAACACAAATATATGGGATTGTTTGTATGAACAAAGTAGTGTAAAGCTCATTGTAAATACCTAATTTAACAAAAATAGTCTTACATATGATAATTTTTAATCCTCAGTATTAATGACAAAATTATTTGTGATGCCATTTTTTTAAGATGGGGGCTTAATAGTAAAGAATTCAATTTTTTAATATTTCTACCAACCTTTATGTCTAATATGATATCTATATTTTTCCCAACACAAGATATATTTTCTCCAACAGAACAGTTATACCACTGCAAGGTGCAAACAAATATCACATAATCAGCTGAGAAGAAACAGGTGTCTTTAGATTCCCTGCCAGGATAACTAAGTTTGTAGTGTTGGAGGTGCTAGTAGAAATCTGCAGCCATGGCCCCTTTTTGCTTTTCTTGGTTCTTGTAAGTTATATTTTTAAAAGTGGTTGTTGAGCCTCTGTACAGTGGATTTGTTTCCTAAAAAAAAAAAAAAACAAAACAAAAGAATCAAAACAAAAAGACATGAAATGGGAGTCACACAGTGTTTGTATAGAAGTAATTCTGTACTTTTGATGATTTTAGAATAGCCTTCAGTGCCTCACTTATATTCCAAGCCACTGAAATTCAGAGTGGTCTATAAGAGGCAGCACAAACCAGCCTGGGGTCAGGAACATGCTCCCCTTCACGTCTGCCTCCCAGATTAAAGTCAAACAATACTTTATTAAATGCGTCCCATATAATCTGTGTATCAAACCTGGTGGCTGGACAATTATAAAAGCACAGAGAGTGTCTCAGCAGTGAGGTGTTACCTGTCATGGTCCTCTTTCTTGAGCCACATAAGCTATCTACCCTGTGGTGGGAGAAGGGCAGGTCTCATCTGAGCTTTTAATCCTGGTCTCTCATCAATCACTTCCTATCCTTTCGACTTGTGACAGAAAAGAAAATTAAAATGCTTCTATCAGGTGCATCCTTCCCTTCCCTCTTACCATATGTAGCTCTCCTGAAGGATCAAGAAAACATTTTCAGGTGGCCTTGCCTGTAAGTAACTGATTTTTCCCATCTCAGAAGCTGAAAGGCCCATTCTTGGAGTAATGTTGCAATCACAGGACTTGGTAGGAGAATGGAGCGGAATGAACAGCAGCACATTGCCTATCCTCCTGACACTCCCTAGAAACGCTTACTCAACATGTTTGTTTTTCAAAGATCCTCAGAAGTCTTGAAGATTTTGCAAAAGAGCAAAAAAGTCAAGGGCAGAAAGGAAAGAAGAAAAGGGAACATGTGGTGTAAGCTTGCATTAGATGCCTGAAGCTATAGATAGAAGATAAGGCCTGAATTTCTCTGTCCTTTTACCTACATTTTGGACAGCTTCCATTTGCTGCTCCTCTGTGTGAGTGGGCTCCCATCACACAGGCCATCACAACAGCTCTTTCCTAAACAGCTGTTTCTGGGCGGAGGGGTACACCTCTGATAATCGCATAGGCAGCCAAGAACTTTGTTAAAATTAATCAAAGACAGGGCACTAATTAAAAGCAACTAATAAAAATAAAGTTATCTACACATTCTTACATGTGCAAGAAATTAAACCAGGAGATTAAACTCTAGATATTTTTCATCCATAAAGGAATCATAATTTTACTTTATAGGATACTAAGTGTAGTGAAAACCTACCAACAAAATCTATCCATTTAAAAGAAAAAACCAAGACACAGAATTTTAAAGGCACTTGTGCATCATGCAACCAAATTAAATAACCTTGTATGAAATCAATGCCTGTCACGTACCGTTTGCCACTTAACTTTTGATTTTTCTGCTTCAAACTTGGCCACCTCTTTTCGGTCTTGAACTGACACCAGCAATTTCCATATACAAAGTAAAACAATGCCAATGAGAAGGATAGCAAGGGTGACACCCACCATTATCATTGGGATATTTGGAAGTTGTGTGCAATCTGTGAAAAAAAACCCGTTATGACCATGGATATCTCCAATCAGTAAATTTTAGGCAATTAAAAACAGCCAAGAAGTGTTCTGAGCTTCTCATTTGCCATGAGCTGTGCACACCTTTTTCTCCAAGTCCACTTTATTTTCCTCCTGCTAGCTTGCTAAAGGGTTTGTGAAACCAGTTGAAAAATATTGCATTAAAAATTTAAAAAAATTAATTGTTAACTTGTTCCACTGCGCTTTTACCATGTCAATCAGTTAGCAGCTGCTGCATACAGAAACAGATTCAGAAAAGCCAGAAAATTGATTTCAGATCTGTGGCAATATAATCCTAAAAAACGGCTGAGTTGACAAGATTATGAATTTTACAATGTTATGGCTGGAGCTCTAGTCCAATTAACTGATATTCAGCGTGTTGCAGAAGAAAAGATTCTAGCGAGATCTGTATCAGGGTAAAGTCATCAATGATATTGATAAAACAGAGGAAACTACATTACTGTCATGAATACAATCAGTAAAAAAAAACCCTTTAGACTTGTTGAAAATGTAGGACTGGGCAATTGGAAGCAATTTTGGATTTCAAGTCCTGAATTAATTTTATCATACAATATTTCAGAGAGTCAAAATTAAAACTGAAGTTTTTGCTTCACCAAAACACAAAGAAGTTTGATTCTTTTAATATTAGAAAGTATTGCTTATGTAAGTTGAACACTACTATTTTAAAAAATTTTCTGCTGAACCATGGTTTAAGGACATTGAAAAATTCATTTCAACTAATCTGTCTTACATGATTGTATTTCACATTTTGATTTTCCTTGATGTCATCATTTGACTAATTCTGAGGGATCTTTTAGGTCCCTTCCAACCCAAACCATTCTATGATTCTATGATACTGCAACATTCAACAGAATTACAAAGATATTTTAGAATTTCATCAGGTAAACTCAATCAGATAGTCTTTTGAATATTTGTCCATCTATGAAATATATATAAATTTCAAAGTGAATTCTAGTTTTATCATATAATGCAAATGACATCTAGTATCTCAGAATTGCACAGGGCTTTAAAAAAATTTGCTTATTCTTGTAGCAATGATCACTGTGCCCATCTTTCATGAAAGGTCAAGTATTCATTTTACCACTGCATTAAATAAGTACTTGAGGAGGTACTCTTTTGGCTGGGCAGAGAAGAACTACAAACACAGGGAGGTGCTGTTCTGCTTAAAAGAGCTCAGCTTCTAGATTGCTCACCCTGTCTGTGGTTTTAAATCAGATTTCACATAGGAAAAGCAATATTCACTGCTTACCTTTCTGTTCTATGCTGTGAATGACTGTCCTTCCCTGTTCATCCACAGCCAGCAGAAATGTGGTTATACATTCATTTTCCCCCTGCAAAGAGCAGGAAATGGATTTATCCTCTGAATAATCTGCAGAGAGAAGAAAAAAAGTCATTCATCAGATCAAATTAAATTTAACATTTAATAACTAGAGAGACTGCTGGCATCACGTTTGTCATAGCCCCATCTGTGGATGGTAAAGAGTGAAAGACAAAAGCAGTAACACTCTCAGAATTTCCGCTAAATTTAATGGCTTTTCTACCAATCCCAATTTTGTTTAGTTTCTGATTTTTCGCTTATATTTCCGAAGAACTAATCCTGATGTTGTCAATCTGCACTGACCATCTAGTGTATCCTATTAGTGTGCCGTGAATTTCAATGAATTGGAAGTGCCTTCAAGATGCTTAACTGCCATCTGTCTAGGAAATGTAGTCGTCCCAAATTAGAGGACAAAGTAAAGAGTAGAACCAAGTGTGTTCCTTTGGTTTACAGCTACTCCTGCCATCTCTAGATCACGTGTCAGAAGTAAATATACATATATCAAACAGCAATGGATGCTGTTAGAAGGGCTGCCATTCATTTCTTCCACAAGAGCCCCCTCAAAGGTCAGTGTGTGTCCTGTACCATCACAAGAGTAAATATAGATTAATAACAGAAAATTGTAATTCTGGGATTTTTGTAATGTGATTCCAGGGGAAGCAAATAAAGTGACCTGAGATGACAGTCTGCCCTTGTTTATTCGTCTCTCCACTTACTGTTGATCTGCACAAAAGCTTAATCCACTTCTTTCCTTCCAGATTATTCCTAACTGGGGAGCTTTTCTGCTGAGAAAAATTCATTCAAAGGGAACAGGGAGACAGGAGGAAGGTGGCTTTGAGGGACAATATAAAGCAAATAAGACAATCAAAAATTACCATAATTTGGAGCGCAATCATAATATAATATTTTACAGAGAAAAAAATATCTTATAACTGTGTGCAATAATGGATTATAAAGAAACCTATGGTACATAAAGAAATAAGTGCTCACTCTGTTTTTTTTATTCACATGGCTTATTATAAAGTTTGGTCTTACAGAAAACACTATTAAACGCTATAGAAAATATGACAGTATTGACTACAATAGCCCCTTTCTCTGCTTGTTATAAAAAAAGAATCACATCTGGTTGGATTTTAATGGAAACATGCTCTTGATTTAACGATAATCTTGTATTTAACCTGTTGCCTGTCCTTAGTGGCAGAGCAATGTGTTATCTAGCAAAGTGACAGGCAGCCAAGACTTGCTGATTTAACAAGATTTGGTTTTGTTAGAAGGGCCACAAACTGCAGACTGATGGCTCTCATTGCCAGGTCACAGTTCCAGTAACACTGTCACAAGTTCTGCAATATTTGTACTTTCCCAACTCCTTTAAGCAAGCAGATTCAAAATATTAGCTTGCTTAAAACAAACAAAAAAAAAGGGTAGTTGTTAGCTATCCTGAAGATGGCGAAAAACTTGCAGACATATTCCAAATATCATCCAGAAGGCAGTAACAGCACATGTATTAGATATTTTTAAATAGTAATTTTTAATTTAATGTCATCATTTGAAACCAAGGGGAGCAGAAGCATGATTATGTGTAATGATGTAGAAATGAAAGCAAAGATGTCCGTTCAAGCTATTCAGAACCCAGCTTACAGTTAATGTTTTTATTTCTCTGATGTTATTTTTAGGATGAGGGATCACTAAGAGACTCTATTGCATATATTATTTGCAGTTCATCAGCACAAAAATTTGCCTACGTAGGTAAATTCCTGTAATTTACATCTGTGTAATTTTCTGCATTCTGCAGTGAATCATCACTTCTGCCTGCAGCCTAATGCTATTAATTTCAATTGTATTTGAAATCATTGGAGTCACACTGGAGGAGGAATTGGGAAGCAGTGGCAAGAGGGATACTCAAAGCATGAAAGACTCCTAAGAGAAACTAATATAAAAGATTCAACAAAAAAAATTGACTGTAAATTTAAATGTCATTATGCCCTTTCTTGTTTGCCTTTTGCTCAACAAAATGCTTTTTTTGAACGGAGTTCATCTCACTTTGAGTCATAACAGAGCAGTGTTGATATAGAGGTTTATTCAGGCTTCAGTATCCGTTTTGCTGCTGCACTTGGAATTCGTGAGGTGTCAGCACTACGAGGGAGGAAAAACTCAGTTTCTCCAAAGAAAGCGTAACTGTCCCTTCTGGGCTTGTGGCAGGAGCAGCCTGGTGCCCTGTGGCTGGGGTGGTGGCAGGAACCACGTTTTTGGAACAGTGGTTCTTCTTGGGTAACGAGGGCTCCTCTTGCACCCATCTGGCAAAGGAGGGATTAGCCTAACTTAAATGTTCAAGTACTAAAAGTGAATGAAAATAAATGTATAAAAGTGATGCCTGCTGTGGAGATAAGCCCAGTAAGTGTGAAGCCATTAGCACCTCCAGAGCCGCTGGGCATCCCATTCCCTGACAGATCCTTAAGGGGAATGGCTGACCCATTGTGTTGTGGGGAGCAGGAGGAGAAAGCCCTGGCAACCCCAGAACCAAAGCAGAGGAAGTGAAAGCCACGACTCAGAGCCTAAAATGGGCATTCCCGTTTAGGAAACAGGAAAATGTAAAGCCTACACTTTTTTCCTTGCTTCATACTTCCAGTCATTGTATTGCAACATACACATGCAAAAGAGAAATGAAATTTTTTCAGTGCTAATGTTTGTCCCAAAAGCCTTGAAGCATTAAAGAAACCGAAACGTAAACCGGAAAGAAGTAGACTACCATATGAAGTTGCTCAATACTCTTTCTTAAATATTACGTGGTGTGCCAGTAATAGTGTTTCAAATTGTTGAGTTTTGTTTAAGTAATAGTGTTTATTCTATGATTATTTTTTAATTCTTATTTTGAAGGTTATTTTTTTCCTCTAAGGACTTCTTAATGAGGCTACCTCCATGCCAAAACAAATCCTTGGAGCTATTAGACAGGCATTTAAGATGAAACACAGTTTGCAACAGCTTCATCTTTTTCTCTTTTTTCTTTTTTTTTAGAGGTCCAGATGGGAACAGTTATTCAGTCTTCACTACAGTAGTTGCTGTAACTGCTAGAAATAAATTTTAAACCTAAAGAAGTAGCTGACAGTCCCAGTCAGGGAAGCATAGGACATGAAAAAAAGGAAATAAGCAGGAATAGGAGATGGTATTGTCATGCTCATATTCCAGTGACCTCTGTGTATGTGAACAGAGGCATATAAATGGCTCTTTCTGCTCTTGATCAGTTTTCATTGTATTTGAAAATAGAATGTTTTACATATTCCAATCTACAAATATCTGCCATCTGACAACAGCAACTTGCAAACTTTACAGAGATACAATAGAAGTGTTTATATATTTTTTAAGCCTGTAAAGATATTTTTATATTTAGAAACAAATACTGATGTTTAGAAAGGCAAAGCATGATAATAATTTTAATAAAAATACAAAATTATAATTAATTGTCCTTAAAAGGGCAATATTTGTGATATTTGAGCTCTGTATTATGGAGTATTTTCATCCAAAAAAAAGGTGTAGCTTTCCTGGAAATATGTACATCAGTGATGACATTTCTGCATGCACAGCTCTGGATAGCCTTCCAACAGCTTGCGGACACAAACCTTAGACATGCACACAGGATTCTGCGTTATCATCCTTATTCTTACATTTGTCTTATTTAATGCTTATTGTACATATGTGATGTGGACACAATACACCTATGCAGAATATACCACCTAAGGAGTCCTTCTGCTGTACCTTTTGCAACCAGACATGTTTATCTGGTATTGGCCTTTTTAGCCACCAGCACGCTTGTAACAAATGTGGGTAGAGCCCTTCCCAAATCTTTGATCACAAAGCCTAGCCATGATGTCCTGCCTCACTTAACAATTGCATGTGCCACAGGGTTGGGACTAGAGTTGCCATTAGAATACATACAGACTACCTGTTGAACAGGCAAGCGTCTTCCCCTACAAAAAGAAAAATATGCACTCTTTCATTTAAAGGTTTGTTTCTGTTTTTTTTTTATTTTGGTGCTTTTTGGTTTTCTTTTTCTGATAGTATTATCTCACTCAAGATTAATTACTGTTCCAGAAACTTCCCTAGATGGAGGGCAGCTTTGAATTAAAGTGAACAACTGGAAGATGTGCTTAGCCTTTTAGAATATAAGAAATGTCTTTGCCACAGGTTAAAGGGTTGTGTCTAGTCAACCAGCGATAATCAAGGGTCTGCCTAAGGACTGGAGTCAGGTTTTGTATTTGTATGGTAGAAGAAGCCCCACTGGAACTCATGGTACAGTCGTAACTTAAACTTAGGGACTTTCATCAATCACTGGTTTACAGGGACTGGTATTTATTAAATTCTATACTTTTCTCCATAAACTTCTTAGAAAATAGGCATGATTAATATGATAATTAACCTGAAAGGGTAACACCAGCCCTCTTCTGCATTTCCTGCTTGCCTCAGAAGAACCATAAATGACAGTAATTGCCTTATGAGCCATAAAATAATTCCACAACAGAAAAACAAGGCTACTTTCAAATATAAAATTACTGAAAGTGGAACCTACCACTAATCACACACACACACAAGAAAGGAGAACAGAGTATACCAACCCTTTGCAATGCTGACAGTTGCATCAACCAATTTGCATTTTTCACTGCAATCTCCCAGTGACTTGTCATGGGAAGCCAAGTGACATTCCACACAGCTCCTGTGGAAAATAATTCAGCAGCCCATCAATCTCTGCCTGTCACAAAGCAACAAGACAAAAGCCAGTATGTGTGCATCTGCATTTTAAAAGGAAGCTAAATAAAAGGTCTCCTGCTATGGATACAGCAGTTCTCAGGAATATGATAGGTACTGCCGCCAAAAAAAATCCCAACAAAACCAAGCAAAAAAACCCCCACCTGAATAAAGGTATTGTGGATAAGCTCTGTCTTGTCCTCTATTCTCTCCCAGTTTATTAGCTACCAGACAGAACCCCAGGCAACATTATTCATGTAGGTCTATCAAAGACATGTGGTTAGTCACACACAATATTCATTTTTTTAAAATTTCAAAAATAAATATTCTGAACATTAAATACTCTTACACAAAATATCAGCTGAAGGAATTCCTATCAGATGAGTGATATCTGAAATTGACTTCAAAGAGATCAAGTTGGGGCACCAAGTATAAGTCTGCCTTTGTTGAAAGTCTGTTGAATAATGTATTAAAACACTTTTCAGGTGTCTCAATGGTTGTCTCTTGAATGTGATTACTTGTGTCAGGAATTACTTAGATCCTAATAATACTAATGAAATTTACTGGAAAATTATTTTTTTATTTAATGGTGGAATGATTGAAATACTATTTAAAAACACAGAATTTGAACCAATTCCTCTAGAAATCTCTCAAAATCTTCCCATAAATTCAATGAGGATTTTAATAAATCCAGAGTTTATTAATGGAAAATAAAACAACAAACAGAATTAATACATGAAAATTTCTGATGAAAAATGCATATACTGATTTCTTACAAATAGCTTCAGGGGCTGAGACTCTGAGAAGCAATCTGAAGAACTGAATGCATAAAAGAGGGAAAGGGAAAGGGGAGGGGAGGGGGGGAGGGGAGGGGAGGGAGGGAGGGAGGGAAGGGAAGGGAAGGGAAGGGAAGGGAAGGGAAGGGAAGGGAAGGGAAGGGAAGGGAAGGGAGGGAAGGAAGGGAAGGGAAGGAAGGGAAGGGAAGGGAAAGGAAGGGAAGGGAGGGAAAGGGAAGGGAAGGGAAGGGAAGGGAAGGGAGAAAGGAAGGGAAGGGAAGGGAAGGGAAGGGAAGGGAAGGGAAGGGAAGGGAAGGGAAGGGAAGGGAAGGGAAGGGAAGGGAAAACAGTGGCTATGTTCTGTTCCACTGAGTTATATATATCCATGGGAATATGCTGAGGCTGCTGAGTTTATCTTCAGGGGATGGAGATGACCTTATCGCTTGCTCTGTAGATAGTGAATAGTAAAGTGAGCAGGTAATGGGATAGCCTCTATCTCATGGAGACAAATTCAGTGTTGTTGGTTTTGTCATATTTGCCATGTTTCTTTTACAACACACTCTCTTTCTCAGCTGCCTAGCCATTGATCTCCACCCTCTCTGACCTGGTCTTTCAGCTCTCTTGGTTACCCTACCCAGGTGTTCCCAATATTCTCTCTCTCCTGGCTTTTTGTGTCCTGCATTTCAGCACAAGAAGACACTGAAGTAGAGAGAAAAGATCTAATATTGTATACAATATACATGTTTAAGCAGGATAATGTAATGCCTATCATGTAACTTTATATTTCTTATTCTCTGCCAAATCGGGCAGAGCAAAGCAGCAGCCCCGTCCTTCATGTTTAGAGCAGTTGCATGCAGAATTTCTCTTTACTCACAGCTTTGAACGTACTGAGAGGCTTACTTTTGTAGGTCAAATTTAGCACTAACAGAAACAGATTCATGATTTAATCACATGCCATGGAATAGCTTCTTACTTAGATACAGTAGAGACTGCAATGACAGGTATGAACATGCAGTGGTATGGAAGAGAAATGGGACTCAACTCTAAATGAGACAGGACATCATCATGAAACATGCAGCTGAAACTGCTCATCACTCAGAAGGCAAAGCCAGGGTCATTAATAACATGTTCTGTGAAGCCTAATTCAACTTCTAGCTTAAATTTCTACTGAAGACTGCCCAGTTTGGACTGTAGCCCTGCAAGAACTCATTTAATACAAGCATGAGCGATGGTGTACTTTGAGTGGTCAGCTTCACAACCTGAGTATTTTTGGTTGATTTTCCTGTTATGCACCATAGCATTTACCTCGCATCACAGCAGGAAAGCTACATAAATTTTGTATGCTCAGTGGACAGAAGACATTTCACCATTTACAATCAATTTATCATCAACTTATACATGACATACAGCTACCCACTAATTCATCCCCAGACTATTACCTGGTTTATCATACTTGCACCTTTTTAATTCAACCAAGCTTAACTGAATTTGGACTATGAATTTGCAGATGTGTAAAACTTGAGTGGACAACACTACCTTATTCATTCATATGCATGAGAATGGTAATAAAAATGCCAATTTTTTCTGCAAGTCCTCATTTTTGCTGCAGCAGCCATGCTGGGACATTTTTATTTTGTACCATGCACTGGAAGGAGGTTCGTCTGTTTTTGTCTGATGTCATATGAGGTCACCGTTCTGATTAGTTGTACAGCCAGGGACAGCAGTGGAACTGTGAAGTTTTACCTGTGCTGCTTGAAGGTGATTTAATTGTTTTCCATAAAGTCCTTTTATATGAGAGTAGTGCTCATGAATGGTTGAAATATAAATTATGACTACCTCTCTCAAAGGGCAAAGAAGCTCTTGGGTTCTGGTCTGTAATTTACAGACACAGCAGTAAACATAGTGCTGAGGCAGTATAGGAAATAGATACCTGGATGATACAAACATCAGAGATGTAAAACCAGCACATTACCATCTGGAACTGCAAGAGTCACCGCAGAGAGGGCATTTTTCACATGTTTGGCCTGAAGTCCCTGGATGGGTGCAAGCACATGTCCCACAGATGCATTCTCCTCTCTCACTGCACAGTGTCCCATCCTCAGCAATGCAGGCGCTGGTGTCAGTTGTGCAATTACAGTATTCACCAGTCCATCCACTGTGGCACTTGCATTCCCCACAATCACAGTCACCATTGCCTGGAAAAACATTTATTGTGCTTCAGACCAATCTCTTAATAAGAATCTGAAAGATGACCTATAAAATCATTCTCCTTAATAGAAAATATTTTTCCCTCTCTAACCTTTCTTCCAAACATCTTTCTCTCACAGCATTTTCAGTTTTAAGCTAGAGGATCAAATTTTTGTTTAGACTGGCTGTAAGCCAGTGCAGCTCCATTGTCTTTACTGGAGTCCTCCACACAGACCTTGTCTCCTGACAGTGCACAACCTAATGGGTAAATACTTCTGATTTATAATGGTATAGCCCAGGAAAAAACTGGTTTAAGTCTAAAGACCATCCAGAAATAGCAAATTACTCTTTATACAGAATTGATTGCAACTGAATATATGATGAAAGCACAAATTCACAAGCTCACAGCTAAGGGTGAGTCAATAAAGCTCTAAATACAGACACTCAAAATAGCACCAAGGGACCATACCTCCACACTGAAGCCCTCTGTGCCTCCCACAGGAGAAGTCATCACACTCGCAGTGAGGCCCGTACACCTTTCCGTACGGGGACGGGTGGCACACACACTGCCCGCAGTAGCAGTCGCCTCTCCCGCTGCAGGAGCTCTGACCAGCTGAGCCCTTGCAGGAACTGGTGCCCAGGGAGCTCTCGTCGCACTCACAGTGCGGCCCCACATACCCCGGGCTGCAGACGCACACCCCACACTCGAACGATCCTTTCCCTTGGTTGCATTTTGGGCTGTTCATCTCGGCCTTTGCCTGACAGTTGCAGCTGCATAGGGGATGTATTTCCATTTCCAGCACGTCACTGAGCCCCACAGGTTTTATCATGATATGCCTTCTGTTTTTTTCACAAGAGGGGAGACTTACAGTCACATTGAAAGAGACCTGGAAGAGAGAATGGGGGCTGTTAGGAGGTGAAGCACAGGGAGCTCTGCAGAGTAGTCAGGACAGGGTAATAGATACTGCCAGCTTTTTGGAAATTTTTTTGGAGGAAGATTATTTAATAAAGAGAAAACTCTCTACCTTGGTGTCCTAAATTCTCTGGACTTGATGTCTTTGGAGAATTTGTTCTTTACTTACTGTATCTCCCACTTTCACGCGAGAGCATTTCTTCTGATGTGGAAAAATGGTCCCATTGTTACAAATGGCCGTGAAGGAGAGATTGAGCCCTTCTGTCTCTCCCAGGATCTCCAACTCCACCTCAGACCTTAGCTCCTTCAAGGAAAAAAAGTGAGGTGAATGGAGTGATAACACCGCCAAGCTCTGCCAATGTTCTGCATCTGTGTAACGTGGACTGTAACTTATCCCAACTTACACAGAAGTAAACCCATGCTTTGGTACTTTGTTTACAGACCTCTCTATTGCAAGAAAAACAGGGAACAAGCAAAACAAAGTAAATGCCGATAGGCCTGGCTTTCAGTGGAAAGCAATGGTGGCATCAGTTTAATATCCACTATCACGGGGCTTATTTCCTGCCCTTGCAGGAGAACAAATTCAATGTTTTATTAAATCATCTTTCATCACTCTGCTGACTGATACAGGTTTTCCTTTAGATCTGGTCTTACTGAGGTGTGGATTTGTGTCCCTGATTGCATTGCTAGCTCTGGGCTTTTCCTGATTAGCCAGGCTGTGTCAATATTGTTCCCTCCCTTCCTTTCTTCTCTTGATGAAATTCCTACTTCATAAGCTGTATGTGCTATTTCAAGCTGTATTCAACAACATTCTCATTTCTTAAATCAATTTGTTCAGTCAAACTTTCGTTTGGTAATTCACAAACTTTCTTCCTGAACTTGCTCATACTAGGTTTTTGTATTTTAAGTCTTTAAAATATTTTACAGTGACTTTGCTTACATAGCCTTAATCCAAAGCCTGTCACAGACAATGGGGAAATTCCCTATGATTTCATTGGCCTGTGGATCCAGTAAATGGAAATTTTTCAAAAGTACCTCAGTAACTGCTGAGTAAACATCTCACTGACTTGACTTTGTGCTCATGCGAGCCTAATTGCTTACAAAATACCCCCTGCCCTTCAGTCAGAGCATGAGGAGCTTGCTGACTTTACTTCAGTGAGTCATTCTACTAAAGTTATCAGGATGACTCACTGGAGTAAAGGTCTGGTGGAGTAAATCAAAGTAAAAGTAGAATAGGTATAAACCTGCACAGACAACAACTCTCTGTCCTTTGTACATTCCCTGGAAATTTGTCTTAGGGTTGTAAAACTGTGCCCTGGGCATCAGGTTGGTAATGTTGGTAGCTTTAGATATGTCCAAATTTCCGTTTACGTTTGTTTTAGAGATAGGTGCTTATGTCGCTATTGAAACAATGCAAAGAGTCATAAAAATTTGTTTGCAATAGGTCGGTTCTCACGAAAGGAACAAATATAAACATCTAGATAACACTGTAACTGTTGGTATGTGTTGATGTTACAGGAGATATCACCAATAGTTTCTCTTCCACCAGCTGCAAAACTTCAAGGCTCGAACAGAGTGCAACTGTGAGAGAAAATTAAATGCTGTGGAACACCAAATCGTAATACTTTGAATTCTGGAGTCTGTATTGGGTCATTGGAATGTGCCTTGCTATTGTGAGAGGTCAGATTGGACACTTTATGCCACCAAAAATGAACACATAAACTGTGACAAATTTGAATTTTTTTTATCTTAATATCTGTGATTAATATTCTAATGATGTTTTAAATTTACTGAGCTGCCTGACCATAGTTTGAGGACAGACAGCAGACAGTTTAGTGAGCTTCAAGCCATTCACAGAGAAACATTTATGGTTCAAAAAATTTTCTGAATGAAAGAACAGACAAAGCAGTGTTACATACTTGTGCCCTTTTGTTACCTGTCTTTTCTAATATACTATTTCTTTGGTCTCATTTTCTTGCAAGTGAAAGGATCAAACACTGGGGAAAAAAAGCAACAAGTGGAATTTTTCTGAAATTTTAAAATCTTGGAATGGCTTTAATCAAATGGCCTGCTATCTGTCACAATGCATTTTAGCCTATAGCTTTGCAATACAAAGTTATGGGGAATTCAATGCTAAACAAAACAGGCAGAAATATGCTTACAGAAGAAAATGAATCATACTTGGAAAGAACATGAGAACTCTTTGTAACAAATATTTTGACAGCTCAGATTTTCTTAACTTTCTTACTTCCTCTCTGAAGAGTCTAGATGGCAACACATTGTGAATGGCATTAGCAAACCTTATGTTTGCACAGCAAGCAAATACTCGAAAACACTTTAGAAGTGTTAAAAGATTTAATCTAACTCTACCCAGGGGGACAAAGAGTTATTTATTCCTTTTGTGTGAGTAAAGAAACAGAGACACACCACATTGAATTACATTGCTGAGAGTATCATGAAAAGTGTCTGACAGAAGTGGCATTAGATCTTCGGGTTTGCATGTGATTTTTAACTGTAGATCTACCTTCATTTCCCCCCTCACAGTAAAAACCTCAAAATTAGATATCTTCACTTACATCAAATAAGGTGGGTTTTTTGTTTCCTGCTTGGAAGATTTTCAGTCTTGAAGCAATAAGACTTTTAATCTTTAAGGTTATATGTAATAGGATGGACTTAGGGAAATTTTGAGTGTGACATGTTGCTACTTGTACACATTTTACATCTTGAAATCTATGTGGGATTTTAAGAACCTATGTGCCGCCCTGGTGAACTGTCTGGACATGCTGTACCTGGATGAGGATGAGATGAGTTATGGCCCAAAGGCAGAACCACCCTTTCTCCAGTCACCTCCCTGATGCTCCTCAAGTGGAACAAGCATAGAGCTTGGAGCTCCCTCCAAACCATGTCCATGGGATGGGTGAAAACAGGATCAGCTGAAACAACTCAGGAGCTGCATCGTGGTCACCACTGAGAGCTCTGAGAGCTGGTTGTCTCAAAGCATGCAGCAGCTAAAAAGCCAACAATGTCCTAAGTATATGAGCAAGGAGGCTGAGAACAAGACAGAGGGCATAATTTTGTCTTTGTATAAATAGTGTGTGCCCTCTATTGTGTACTGCAAGCTCTTGTGGTCTCCACATGTCAGGAAGCACTCGTTAGAGTCAGGGAGCATAAAGGTACAGTCAGATAAAGTCACCAAGAGCATGGAGCAGCCAAAGAGAGACTTAAAAGGCTGGGATTTGCCAGTCTGAGATTGGACAACAGAGAAGATTGGACTGTGGGTGGAAGATGTTTTAGTGATAAAATATTATGAAATCATGAAGACATTAAGATGAGGTAAATGCAGAGCTCTTATTCACCAAATTCTGCAACAGCAGAACTAAAGTGGACTCTGTGAAATTTTAAAGCATAGGGAGTAGGCTAAGATAGGAATAAGAGAAGTGTATCTTGATACAGTGTGACTGAAGTCCTTTTTGCCGTAGAAGGCAATAGAAGCTGAAAAATCAGCAGGTTCAAAAATGAGAGTAGGAAAAAAGTCATACATGATAGGAACATAAGCAGATGTTAAGAGGAATAGACAAGGATGCACTCTCCACATTAGCAATCTTCCAGTGAAGCACCATTCTGTACTTGATGTTACAGCACCAGCACACAGCCCTGGAACTTTTTTTGTGTGTTTTTCCATTACTTACTGGACAACAAATTGGTATTTCAGCTGTTAAATGTTGGAACCTCTGCCTATATGTTAGAGTGCCATCTTGGAGAAATCCTGATAGGAACCAGATGTGACCTAACAGCAGGTTGGAATCCAGAAGTGAAATTCTGTTGCCACTCAAAGTTTAGCAATTGCTTTCCTCATGTAAAAATTCCCTCACTTGTATTTATTACAATTTGTAAATTCCTAAGACTAGACCTGAAGCTCTTTCCTTATATATAATTTTCCATAGAATGGAGAATCTTCTGGTACTTTGTATCTCATTTAAAAAATCATACCTCACAAACTGTATTACTTTCATAAGAGTTATAAGAGTCATAAGAATCTGGTTTGTTTTTGACCAAGACCAAAATAATTTTTGCATAGTGATGATTATCTCATTCAGGTGATAGAAGGAAGAGCAGGAAAAAAAGTAAGGAAAGAAGCAGAAGCTATTTGCAAAGAGTTGTTTGTCATTGCAGACAACTGGTAGAGCAGGTTTTTTAAAAAAATGGGCTGAGACAGAAGAGAGAAATCTGTTGTATATCAGTATATATATAAATTAATATATCTGAGTGAAGACCTGCACAACTGTCTAAGAACATTCCCCTGACAGAAGAGAAACAGGCACGCAGAATGCATTTTACAAACAAAGCTCTGAAGAGCAGTGCTGTGTTTATGTTCCTGACATCGTTACAGTATTTCTTTGTATTACTTAAACAAACCCATTCAAGTCTTGATGTTATCTAAACAAACCCATATTGGCTCCTGTGTTCCCCTTTTCAAAAACTTCAGAACAGCCTCACAGGGGCAGCACCAAATTGCTAAAGCAGAGAAAAGCACTGAGCATCGGATAGCGCTTTTTTCCCCCAGATATTCCCACGAGGCAATTGTATATCTGCTCTGGTGGCAGCTACCAACTGGGAGAAAACTGAGTCCCCGTCCAGGTGCAGAACTGGGAGCCCTGAATATTAAAGAAGCCTCAAGAGTAGGTGTGAAATAAAAGACTATGATGAAGGCAAGACAGATGAGATGCTGATTTAAATTCAGTATTTCAGAAGAACCAAGGCGTGACAGATGATTATAGGAATTTCGTTTCTGCGCTCCCTCAATCCTCAGAGTGAACACAACCTTTCCTGTTAAGGTCATCACCTAGCATTAAGAGATGATGCAATCAGTGCATAAAAAGAATCAAAGACACTTGTTTTTACTAAATTGCAAGCCAATTTTGAACACAGAAACATGAAGGAAAAGACTGCATTATAACCATCTTACCTGATATGCAGTAATGATCAATTGGAGAATATTTCCAGAATCCTTCTGTAGTCGTCCAACAGTAGCTCCAGGAATAAGTTTTGCATAGTTCTGAAAACATAAAAAATTAATTTAAAGCACAAAAAAACCTTAGGTGATAAGGAGCTAACATCTAAAAAACCCAAATCAAAACAAAAAACCAAAACCCAAAATGCCCTCCACGATACCCCCACAACAAAACCAAATACATTGAAGCCAGCAAAAATAAATGACAGTGACATTTTCAAGGATCCTTGTAGACTCCATTCCACATGTCCTAATGAAAAAGTCCTATGGAGAAGAGCTAGTTTCACTGAAAATTCATTGGACATATATTGCTGAATCACCTCTATAAGTTTGATTCTATAGTATTCTTTGAGCTCTAATTTTTCAAATTTAGAAGGAGGATATGTTTTATCAACAGTTTTGTTTTTCTCTAATAAAAATATCGAGAAACAGACTCATCTGCTCTACTGTTGCTGCACGATTCAAGAGACTTGGACTCTACATTTTTGTCCTTGCAGATGTATCTTAGTGGTCTGTGGCTACGATGGATGGTATGTTAAATTTATGTTAATATTATAGTACCTATTTAGCAATTTATTTTGGTGATAAACTTTCTTTTCATTTTGCATTAAATTGCATTGTGCCATTAGCATGACACCTAGCAGCTAGAGTTTAAATATGCTGAATTAAAATTTATCTTGCCTGATTGTTAATGACATGAACTTCTCTTTCTTGTACCCGTGACTTTGGAAAACAATGTATTCGTCATTAAAAAAAAACATATTGTAGCATTAATTTTCTTTTGCATGATATCATATCAATGCTGTTATTCTTAATAAAAAAAATCCAGAGAACTATTAATAACATGGATAATTTGATACTCTTATATCCTTCTTATACTTCATCTCTCCAAAAGTCCTGTGATTACTTTATATATTATGTGCGGAATAGTTATCATTCATTAGATTTCTAAAGTGCTATTGTTAATCAGAGGGATTAACTACATTTCAAGTTACAGCTGGTGACTTCTCATTCCTGACTCCTCCTGTGATTAGTGCCCTCTCAAGGATTCCTGGAATATTGAAACTGCATTTTTTGCACATGACCTTTTTTGTGAGAAAAGATGATAAACCTGGAATTTAAAATATAGCCCTCTTTAATCTGTGGTATGCAAAACAAACAGCAGGGATATACCACTCTGAAGACTTCATTTGATCTTTCCTCTTTGAACAAAAATTTTCTGCATGGTGATACAAGGATGATGTTTCAAGCCCAGGCTAAGCACGTATCTCCAGTCCATTGGTTAAACCCTACCTTTTAGCAAATATTTCTTTTTAACCACGAATAAGGTGAGGTATATTGATGCTTTTGGGGTGCTACTATGGTAAAACATCCAAAGTATGCAATGGAATTTACTCTTTTGGCAAATATTCATTAAGAGGTGAAGTGCCATTTTATAGAGATACTCTGATTTATATTAGGGAAATTGGACAATTATAAATTTGACCTCAGTGGGGCCGTGTCTAACTTTTAGCTTGGTAAATGAAAGAAGAATTTTCATCATAAATAGAGTGTCATGCAAATATATAACAATAATTTAAAATTCTGTTAAAGTGTGGAGACTAGAGTATTTTTAGTTAAATTTTCAGCAGTGCAATGCAGCATGAAACTCCAATTTTCAAGCCGCATTATTCCGTGATATAAATAGAAATAATTAATCCAAAAAGGAGTAATTTCTGTTTTGAAAGAAGTGCTGCTTAGTCAGGATTAAAGAGAGAGTCTTTCCCTTATCTAGATTTGAATAAATTTTTAAAGAATTCTGCTTGAAAACAAATAATATCAACAATAATAGCAACTACTTCATAGAAGCTTAAAGACTGGTGTTTTCTTTTATGCTAAAATAGGATATGTCAAAATATAATTATTATTACAATAGTCACAGATGAGTGAATGGCTTCTATAGGATAAAAACATCCTCTGCTGCTTTGGTAAGACTCATCTGAGACTAATGATGCTAAAAGTTAGATATACATTAATATATTTTAAAAGATAATTAAAAAAAAATCCTTTTTATAAATCATCTCAAATTATCTGGTCTCAGTGTAAGGAATTTTCTCTACTCTCTTGAATTTAATTTTGAGTGGCTGTAAAAATGTTTCCACATGACTGCTTCTTGTACACAGAAGTTCTTGTGCTCAGGGACAGCGTCAGATGTCAGACCTAAATGATCTCTTGCAGTTGCTGTACAGTAGCTGTTTGGATGCATGGAAGGATCAAAACTAACACCAGCTCTGCAAAAGCATATGTATTCTGTGCTTGTGCCACCCATAATAATTGTGTGTTAGATAATTATACACATAAGTGGGTAAAGTGAAAATTCAGTTGAAGAGGATCAACAATATAACATGAATGAATTATTTTGGGCTAAATTGTTGGGGATTATACAGGGCTAGAAATATAAAATATGTATTTGACAGTCGGAACACTGCACTTAAGACTAATGGAATCTATCAAGTGTATTTAAAGAGGTGCTTTCTAAGTCCTCACAGTAATTTTAATGTATGTTTGTCCCTAAGAACTGAATTATAAATAGCAATGGTCAGTATTGGGATCTGATATAATTAGTTGCTGAGTTCAAGTAGATTTGTGATGAGATATGGGGAGAGGCTTTCCGCCTCCAAGAATAATTGGAAAGGTTTTCAGAGGGAGGCTGCAGAATCTCCATTGCTGAAGCTTTTAAAAAGTGAAACACCAAGACAAATGTGGTTTAATGGTGGTTTAGGGTCCTCTGCTACCTCTTCCAGGCTACCTGAGCAGTGGCCTTACCACAAGAATAACTCTTGCCTTGTTTTGCTCTTTTTGCATTCTTAAGTGTGGATACTGGTTATTTACATTTATATTACAGAATTTGCATCACACAGATGAAAACATGGCACTATTGCCCTGTTTGCACATCCTACATGTACCCTTGAAAGCATATTGCACTGTGAAAAAACTGCACTGTGACACTTATATGTGTTTTTTGTATTTGCTTTGACTGCTTTTCCACGTCACCTACAGGACAAAAAGCAGACCATAACAAGTACAGCTATCCAAAGAAGTGAAAGAAAGCAGTACTAAAAGACGAAAGCAGCAGATAGAATATATTCAGTGGGATTACTCTATACCCTACAAGATAGAAGATAGTTGTACTTTCTTTTTTCTGACAAAGAAAGTAATGAGAACAAACCATTCCCTAGTTGGGTTAACCAGGACTTTCATTTTTTTGTAGCTATAAGCCTTTGTTTAGTGTTACCATGATCAAAGGGTGCCCCTCGGTAACTTTGATACTGATATAAGACACAGGGATACTGGAATAGAAACACCTTGATAAGAATGCTGTTGGCCATCTCTGAGGGTGACCACTAGCAATTTCCAAGGAAAAATACAATGCCATCAGTAAGAAAAAAGTTTCTTTGGACAGAATAAGGCTCTTTAAATCAGATATTTCCAAACTACCTTCCTAGAACTGTCCTTATTTATGCAGCACCTATTAAAATCAGGAAAAGTATTTCACTTTTCATTAACCAGGTCTCTATTAATAAATTGCTGAGCAATAATGGAATTTAGTAAATTTTTTTAAATGTAAAAATATTAATGAAACTATGCAAGGACTATAGAATCTCACTGCATTTGTAGATTGACTTCTGCTGTTACCGATCTAAATTTTCATGATCTAGCTCAGTATTTAATACAGTCTTTAAAAAGGCCAGGCAGTCAGTGCTTCAAGATGCAGAGTGTTTCCTCCCTTGTCAAGGCTGTAATATGAGAATCAGTTTCTGAAAGTTGTGACTTCTGTCAATTTTGTAAAACAGCTGGAGCATTAGTTTTACTCTAAACAACTCTACCACTGGAATCAGTTACAGAAGTACTGGGGGAGTCTTCCCTGGCTTACACAGAGGACAGAAATAGAAAACCGTCGTACTGGTGAGTACTTCAAGGATGCATCTGCTCTCTCTTTTCCCCTACGCTTTCTTTCCTTTTTTCCATGTGGTAATCACACCAGAGGAGCACCTCTCTCCTCATTACCGTACTTTTGTTTTTAATGAGGAATGTTTTGCAAAGGTTTTTCCTTTGGAAAGCCAAGCTTATTGTATTAGCAGGATCAGCCTCATTGACTCCCTCTCAACCAACCTGAATAAATTTGAAGGAACAATTTCTCTCTGCTTGTCCCCTTTCACACAGCAGCAGTACGTGGCCAGGCAGCCAAGGTTAGGCTGCAAAAACCCTTATTATCCACACTGAACTCAAATCTAGAATTTCTTTTAGCATGTGAAAATTTCTTTCCCGGAGCAGGACTGGACAGAAAAAGAAATAAGAATTGCCAGTATCCATCCTATTTTGTCTTAGACGGGTTTTGCTCACATTCACTGTAAGAACAGTGAAGCAGCTGTTGGCAGCTCTGCCTCAGCTCACAGCTGGAACATCCAGTGGGTCAAAAGTAGCAGAGGCCTACAGGAGGGCTTGTAACTGTGGAGGCTGAAAACAGATGCCTGCACAGATGACTGATGGAGCTGCAGGTATAAATTATATTTGAGTTATTAAAAATATGGATTTTGTATATCTGTAACCACTGCTCTTCTGCTCTCCCCTCTCTCCTGGGTCCCGTTTGCCATGACATGACTTCACAGAGCAGGAAATTGACTTCACTGAAGAGGATTCTGCTAGTCCTAATGTCCAAAATTCCTGTAATGAAGTGTTTTCCTTCAGTAGTCATGAGGACCAATATATGAGGAAAGAGGACCTTGTCCTTCATGTTCTTCACTTTTCATCTTGATGCTAGTTTCCTACTAGTCTCACTGGAAAGCATCATAGAAATAAAAGAAAAATGGAAAAAACCCCAACCAACCCAAAACCCCAAAAAACAAGATCTCAGAGTTGAGCGTGAAAACAAGTGTATGTTTCAGAGTGTGTTCTTTTCTTATAGAAGGCTCAATTGTCCTCTAACTTATAAAATACAGAAGACTAATCCCAATGATCACACTGAAGTTTAGCAATGCTTAGTTTGACAATCCTTGACTTAAAAGATTAGTGTGATTCAACTTGAAATCCAATTTAAAAGTTACCTAAGAATGTCAAAATCAATACATGCAGAAGCACTTCTTAAGCAGAAGAGCTTTCCTCCAATATACGATTTCCTAGTTATTTTTAATACATAAATATCTTGCAGAATTCAATCCTTAGTACTAGCATTACTGCATCAGCTGTACAAAAAGGTGAACTTTAAAACAAATACCGGCAAACTGAACATTTTAATTTGCTCACCTCATATGTGTGAACTTGCTCATTCGTTACAGCAAAAATTAATAGAACATTGTTTTGCACAAGTTTGTCAATTAATTGTCCAATTGTGGGATACTCCTGCAAACAAACAGAAGAGAGGCACATCAATCTGTTTCTCATGTGCTTTCAGTTACTGTCTGTCTTTCCCGTGAGAACACACATTCAAGTGATCATAATTAACATTATGTTCAAGTGATCATAATTAACTCTGTGTTCTCTGTGTAGTACAAACTATAATTAGGAATACATGTATACAAAATAGAAGATAGTTTATATGATTTCCTCACATTGTTTTTAAGGAAATCCCTCTAAGAAAAGTATAGAGCCTGCTTCCATGCTGGGAGATTTGGCTCCATAGCCTCTGTTATCTATATATTTAATCCAAAGAATAACACTGCACCAGAGTAACTGGATATTTGTCCTACACTGAACACCATAGTGTATATATTCAGTATTTTTGAACAATGAATCTTAAGCTGGTAAATCGTCCTATAGGAACAGTGTCCTGCAAATCCCTGAACTACTGAATTCACACCCTTTTAGGGAACATGATCAAGGAGGAAATACTAGTCAGTCCAATTCTATGTGCTTTCCTGGTTAGCAAAAATCAGATTTGCTATTTCTTTTTTCTTAGTTATAATCTATCCTAATTCCATACAAACACACCTCTCTGTTTACTGAAATGTGCACTTACAAATAAATAGACTACATGAAATACCTTCATTCCCTGGCTTTTATACATTTCAGTGTTAAAAGTATAATTCATTAATTTTTTAAGTTGCTCATTTTAGTCTTTAAATTTCCAGAATGCGAGAGTTGTACAAAATTCATAGTTACTTGCCAGAACAGTTGACATGGAATATTCGTTATTGTGGTCCAAATGACAGTTTCCATCATTAGGAATAACAATTCCTGCCAGTTTACTGTCCATCCCAAAATGGGAATCAGCATCACTCACAAACACCAGCAAATGTAGAGAATCATTCCTCCATCCAATTTTTTCCTGTCATTTAAAACACATCAATTTAGCAGACTATATTGCATGACAATATAGAAAAGCAGCAAAATATTTGGAGGACGGCACCTCAAAATAAATGAAGAGCATAATTTTCAAGGGAGTGTCAAAGGCAACACTGTCTCTTAAAAGATGATGTTCATTCCATTGTCTTTGGCTAACATTTTGTCTCCCCATCTCTGTGTTTAATAACACAGGCTGGCCATATTCATATCAATCTGCTTACTACTCTTAACAAAGTTAATGAGAAATATTTGAAGAAAAAACAATCAAGAAAACAGACACAGTAATTATACAGTTATTTGGGGTTATTTATCCCTGGCAATTAAAAGGAAACACTAAAATATTGCAATGTGCATGTTTTACTTGGTACAGCCAAAACTATTTTAACACAAATTTAATGAGGCTCTTGGGTGGCACTAAAAATTCTTGAAAAATATTCTACCACTTTGAAATACCACCATATAATACTAGAAGCAATAATACAGAATAATTAATATCATGCCTAGAAATTTCAATTACCTTGCAAACAGCTGCCTGCATAATTGCATCAAATCCTCCCTCTGGAGTGTCTATATTAGCAGAGATTCGCTGTACTTTCACGATTTCATTGAATTTTTCAGCATCATTTGTTAGTGGCAAAACATGCTTATATCCAAAGGTGGGTAAGCACTCATATGGTACACTTCTGCAAGAAAAGTGAGACAGCTTATGGATAATACAGAGTGAAAATTCACTACAATGAACACTTCAAAGGCCTGCCTGGATTAGTTTTTGGCCATGTATCTCTCTTCTGTGTCTGAGAAGATCTAATGAAAAACATAAAATAATTAAAGAGCATCCAGTAAATTGGGCAATGGAAAAAGGTCTGCATAAGGGCAGGGAAATGCCTCCTAGAGCAGTAATTCAGCCAATTACAAAAGTGCAGCCCTTGCCATGCACCCTGCTGTGTCTTGATTTCATATTTGGAAGCACATTAGGGCCTGTAGTTCCTTAATGACATTCAGAGAGCACCACCAAGCTGCTGCAGTCCTGCTCCAGACTGCAGAGAACAGCTTCTCCCTCACAAGGGCTAGGGCAAGAGCTAGGGCAGCCTGGGTTTAGGCAGACTGCTAGACCTTCAGGGTGTGGAAAAAAAACCAGGAAAACAACATTGATGGCTAAATGAAACTGATATTCTGTGTTGGGTTTGAGTTTGCAAATCCTTGGTTTGGTGTCATAAAATTCTTGTATATATGTATTTTTTTTCTGGAGAATTAAAGGAGAGTATATAACTATTCTGCATATCTGTTTGTTAATGCATTAAGCACATCTGTCACTAGCAGGAAAGACTAAAACGCACAATCAGTCCCAGATTCCTCTCTCCAAATAACATCATATTTAACAGAATACTGACCAGAGTGTGAATTTAAAGAAACAAATCTTGTTTCACAAACTTACTCATTTACAGCTGGAAGAGGGCAGAGGTTCCAGTGAAGCTGCTTAATTGAATTTTATCCAAAAGATTAATATTATGACTTAATGTTGGCATGCAAACAGATGTCGGGACTTTCCCTGCCTACCTGCAAGGGTTGTTTATTTCTGCAGCTGTAGTTTTGATAAATGGTGAAACTGGTTTTTCAACAAAAGATCCAAACCCCAGTCTGAAGTTGCTTGTCAGTTTTGACATTTCTTTAGAAAGAGTTGAACCCAGTTCTTTGATTGTATTCAGATCATCATCCATGGAGGCTGAAAGATCCATGAGGTAATAGAGATCAATTGGATAATCTTCAGTCTGGCGAACCTTGATCTGTATTGTTTCTTCATGTCCTATAAAGTGGGATACACATCAGCACTTCTAGGCAGAAGGTATGAACAATGTCAATTTCTTCATAAACTTCTATATGGTGAAAATTATCTGGTATATTAAATAACCAGCAGCATTAACAAAATAACTTTAAAAATTCTTTGTCAAGAAAAATCTCAAATGAGGGTCTGATAAATTAAAAATAGTTCTAATGTTTGGGGCTTTTTCCAAACAGTTCTGCAGTAAAGCCATAAGCACAGAATTAAAACTGACTGCTATAATTTGAAAAAATATGAGAACATCTTCAGCAGTATACAGCTTTAGAAAATTTAGATGTGAAGCTAATTAAAACTAAAGGTAGAGCTTATGGGTCCTACCATATACTTTAGAAATTCAAAGAAGGCCAGAGTGTACACATAAGTTTTATTCTCGGTTCCAGCACTATGACATGACCTAACTGGATGTCTCCTACTCTTCTTTATTTCAAATTTTCTCCAGGAAAAATTCACACCTGAAGGACCCCAAAGTAGGTCTGGTGTGTAACCATAAACGTCACTGGTACCTTGTAAATCCTCAAAGCAAGATTTTACGCTGCCTCTGAGATATGTTGTTTGCCAGACCAGCAGAGGAGAGGCAAAGGAGGTGGGCTCAGGAGGAGCCAGGGGGTTTCATTCTATCCCTGCCACCTCAATGGCAAGAGAAGAGAAGAACTAAAAATATGAATCCCTACTTTTATGATGTACCCAGCACTTCTGAAAGTATTTTGAACTCAGTCAAACCTAGTTTTCGTATGATGTGTCAACATATAACTCTGGACTCAACACAGGTTTTCATCTTAATTCTGCCAAGATTTTTGTAGACCATTCAATATGAGAAGCTTCAGCATATCACATTGTCTGAAAAAAATATCCGACATCTATGAACTGTGACTTACCTGGTCGCAGCCTGAGAGTTAATTTTTGAGGAGAAATCTGTGTGACATCAGAATTGTTCTTCTGGACTGATATAGTTAGGGGCTTGTTTCTGTGAATTTCTACTTCTGAAATGGGAAATTCAATCAAATTCAACTGGCATCCTTTTGACAAAAGATTTTCTGGGGTATCACACCTCCCATGAATTCCAGCCGAGTCTGTGTAATTCTAAGGCAAATAGGAGAAGGAAGGGATGAATTAAATGTTTTTCCTGACTAGCCACCAGCATCTAACTGATGAAAGGTGAGTCCAATGCAGGCAACAGAAACAAAAATGCAAGTTACTGCAAATTAGTGCAGAATTAGATCTAGGTGGCACAGAAACCCAAATTTGCCCTGTATGGATCATGTCACACAGGCGCATAATTAACGTAACTTACACTGACTTGTTGTCCTAGGAGAAACTGCCCTATTGTTGAGGAATGGGAATTGTGCCACTCACTGCATTTGGCTTTTCACAGTGCTGGGAATGATAACACAAAGCCCCTCTGAGCCTCTGTTTTTTCTATTAAAGAATTATGCCACAAATTCATCAGTCTTTCCTAAACAGTTTTGAACTGCTGTTCGAACCACATCATTTAATAATGGAAGAGGTCTTGCAGATAATAAACCCCTAGACATTTTGTGACAAATTGATTGTGGGGTACCAAGTGTTCACTGTTTCTTTTCTTAACTGACCTACTCTTTCTCCACAGCACTCATTTAACATGTTCACTGAAGCAGGTAGCAAGTCCTTGTTCCTCTCCCTGGTGCCCAGCAAGCACCACAGCCTGCCCCCACTGCTCCCCAGCACTAGAGGGATTCCCAGCATCCCCACATCTATGTTTTGCCCAGTATCCCACTTAACCTTCTTCCATCCAGAGGCAATCACACACCTATTAATATCAGTTGGATATCTTGCAGTTTACTTTTGTTATTCAATTCAAAGCATTGATATGCATTCCTTTCCACAACACTGCTACATGGTAGGTACTAACCCCGTGTAGTGGTGAGGTTAATGGTTAGTTTTAAAAAGTGGTTTCTGTGTCTTATTACCATTTCCCAGAGCTATGTCTGGAGTTTAGATCCTCAAAATCAGTCAGCTGGCTCCTGAAATGGAAACTGCTCTGGCCTGCAAGACCTTTCTAATCAAAATCAGGCATTACCTGGTCAAACCAGCTCTGAAACATTTAATTCCTGGCTGATGGTCATGGGCCCATGCCATGGAGCCACTCTTCTCTCCTACGTTTGGGCAAGCAGCCTGGGTTTCAGCCATTAAACCACAAATATTCTTTGAATTCAGTCACTGAAAAAATTTCCATCCACAGCAAAGCAAATTTATTTAAACCTATTAAAACCAGAACTATGACCCTTTTTTCTACCAAAACATCACCCTTCATACCTGAAAATTGTCAGGGATCTTATATATTTTGGTGGAAGCAGAGCTGAGACACCTGCTGGGAACAGTGGTTTATTATTCTTCAGACTGAAATGGATGCCTTTGCTCAGGCAAAACTCTCACCCACTGCTTCTTGAATACGGAGTGCATATAATACATATACCATTATAAAGCTTTCACAGGGAGATCCATATCATCTCCTTTAGTTACACAGTTTGTAACTTTTCAAAACATGTGTGAAGAGACAACCTCATATTTCAAATACAATTACAAGGTGTGTTTTTATCCTACTGAAAAAAGTGATTTCTTTGGAGGTGCTTGTGTTTGCTCTGACGCTAAAACTCCTATGTCTTTTGCACTCTTAATGTGCTGTTCTCTAGCAAACAAGTGAATGAGCTCATGAACAAAATAAAAAATTATGTTTACTACTCTGAAGTTTTCAGTAGTTCCACAGTTTTGCTTTTGTTTGGTTTTAAATCAATAAATTATATTGGGCTTTTTTTTTTCCTGAAAAGACATGGCAGTAAGTCAAAATTATGTGATCTCATTTCAATAAAATCCTGTTGCAAAAGGCAAAAGATATTTCTTAGAAAACTTATTTTTTAAAAAAGTGCAGTTTGGTCTTTGTGAGCTATTTCATAAAGCAGTATGTTAGTCCCATCCTAGGTATCATTTTGCTATACACAAAAGCAATAAATACATTTAGCAGCAAAGGTGCAAATCAGAAACTACAATGAAAAAGATGTTTTATTTCTCTATTACTTCTGTCAAGTTTTAATTGTGATAGCTGGATAACTCACTAACATTAATGAACTAGAATATTCACTGTGAAGTGGGGAGATAATATTTAGCATCATTTACAGGTAAAAGTTTTAGAAGCAGAGATGTGAGTTCACTTGCCCAAGGTTACACAGAAAACCTGAAACAGATGTACAGGAAAAAATCCAGATATATTTTTAAGTCCAGTATTTTAGCCAAAACACATCTATATCATACTAATTATAAAACTAACACTATCATCGTACTTAAAGTCCACCACAGATTAATAATTTCTGTATGCAAATTTTACATCTGCAAACTTACACACTGTTTACACCTGCAAACCTTCTGTTTACACTGTCTGGCTTGACACATAATATGTAAGATACAGTCTGGACTCTGACTTCATGTCTAGAGCTTCATCATTGCTATGGGTGAGTCACCCCTTGGGCTGATGAACTGAGCCCCTCTAATAGCACTTTTATTTCTGCCTTAGATGACGAAGGCTGATGTTCTTGGGTTTTTAAAAAAAACAAACACAAACCAAACCAAAACCAAAAACAAACCAATCACACTCCAACAATGAATAATAGACCATGAAGGGTAGACACAATTCCACTTCTGATCCCCAGGAAGGCTTCACTAAGTGCTGTATGCACTACAAAAACATGGGCTGACCCAATTAAGTCAACACTTCATCACTCAGAGCGACTACAAAGACTTCAAGTCTTACTTTGAATTTTTTTTTAATCACTGTACCTCTTGCAAACACCAAGCGCAGTGTGGTCCGGAAAGCAAACAATCTTCACAAGTCACTGTGCTTTCCTGCGAACAGGTCCCTAAATTTAAATCCGAGAAGATAAAAGGCTATTAATAACATGCTTAATCATTCAATTTATGAAGAAATGAATAATTTAGAGAATGTGGGAGGTGAAAAATGCACATGTTTAGCCATATTTAGGATTACTGATAAAATTCCTTCTTAATGGTAGTTCTATTGGTAGAAGATTAACTCTCTAATAAAGATTAAAACATCAGAATTGCTGGCAATTAACATGCTTACTTTTACATTCTTTATGGGTGGCATTCACTGAGAGCATGCTAACTTGTTTTCTCCAGTGCACCTGATAAAGTGTTACATGTGTTTCTGGTACGGTGTAGGTAAGTAATTTGCAACATAACCAGGGATATTAAAAGAACAGATTTATGTTCACTCTATATGCTTAAAATTGCTTCACTCAGCTGTGTAGGTACTTAATATGATTTTTATCCGCTGTGCAAGTACCAGTGAAACACTCAGTCATATGTATAATATTAAAGTTTCTCAGCAGATCAAACTGTGATTAGTATAAACGAAATTGCTCAAATGTCTGTCTCTTTCAAACATGTTGTGCTATGTAATGACCACCAAATCATAGGTGAATTGGCAGTGTAGCCCTACAGCAGTCTGTCAAAAAAAAAGTCATTAAACAGAAAGGAAGGATTAAATACAGAAGACACAAAGCTATTTCATTTCAACTTCAGGCAAGAAACAATGCAGAAAAGGTTTTGAAATGGATCTCCCTGCCCCTGAGCCTTACCTTGCACATAGTTATTTCTTTGCAGGAATAGGAAACAGAGGCAAAGCAATTCAATCCCCATTCGTTTTCAGTGCTGGCTGCGTGACAAAAAGTATTAGCTTGTTAATTATCATCTGCGTAAAGGTAGAATGTCGTAAAAATTGTACATTCCTGGAGGGTATGTTTTCACCTACACCAGATTGCGAGGAAACTTCAACCCCAGCAGGAGGGACCATGAACAAAAGTGAAAACAAGGGCTACCTGAGCAGGTAAAGAGGACAGGCTGGGCATACAGTAATGTGAACATGGTTATCACTTCCTTGTTTTCCTGGACTCCTTATAAGGCATACAGGGAAAATTCATTCAGGTGAAGATTTCTGTCAATCCCAGTCACTCTGGGTCCTAGAGCAACCCAGCCAAGAGACTCTGTTTGTATGTGTACAGCAAAGCTTAAAAGGGTCCTTCAAAATAACACCTTTAATTGTTCACCGAGGGAGTGCATTGAAGAGATGGATCATTACAATTGCCAAGTGAGTATACCTGGAGAGATGTAAAAATCCCATTTTTTCAGATTTCCTGATGTGTAGGGAAACTCGTAAGGGCAACTGTGAAAAACAAACAAACAAACAAACAAAAAGCAAAAACCAAAAAGCAATTACATATTAAGATTGAGGACCTGGTTTCAGTATTTCAAGATACATAGTAATTGATTTTATTAATATTCCAGACTGAAAGGGAAATGCTGCAGTTGTGTGTTTTTTTAATATGTAGAAGGAGGAATAATTACATTCCCAGTTCTGCAGCTGACTTGGAAAAAAAATCATGTCAAAAAAACTCTGCCTAATAAGTCACTGAATATTCTACAGCACAGATACAACTGCATAACAAGTTATTGCTGTCTACTCTTTCCCCTTCTCAACCTGAAATGAATGCAAAATATGCATTTCTTACCATCTTATTAAAAAGAAATAAAATTTCTTATTTGTACGTTCCATTTCTTCCCATCTTTTCTGCTCTGCTATTGTTTGTTTTGAAAACCATTTGGTCAAGACAAGTCCTATCTTTTCATAGGTGCTTGCAATAGACTACATGGAGCAGCATAAAATTCTAATTTAGTAATTTGTGTTGCTGGCCTGAAAACATATATCTTTTTTCTCTACAGTCAGAAATCCTACTCAAGTTAGCTCATAAGGACTAGGTTGCTCTCACCAAGCAAGAAAGCTGGCAAGATCAGACCCCCCCTTTTCAGACTGGTAGTAGCTGCACTCTCAGGGCAGGATGTGAAAAGTAGGGATGGGTCTGTACTAGTTACACTGCTGAAACACTCCTGGGCATTGAGGTTAACTGGCACAGAAAGACCTGAGTTCATTCCAAAGTGCCTATTGGAACCATTTTAGCAACCAAATTGTGCCCAGAAATTGTTTGCAGAGAGTGTTAATTGGAAGAGGTCAAATTCATGCCAGGGAGCATTTTAACAGTTTAATAGCATAGACGATCTCATTCCAGTGCCTGGAAATATTCCCAGGCCCATCCAATTTTACTAGTATTTACACAGTCTATGGGTAGTTTCAATAGCAGCTCAAACTGGATTACATCAGGACTACCTTTGCTCTGCCCTTGTGTTCCCACCCCTTCACTCTTACCAGTCAGTGCTCATGTCCAAACAAGCAGTGAGCTGTTTCATACTGATCCAACTAAAATCCAATCACCTACTGTGGGGAAGGTGGGGGGCTGTTTTTCATCTGGGTAGGTCCCTTGAACCCTGTGACTGTCCAGTCCAGAGTGCAAGGCAGAGTTGGCAGGAAAGGTGGGAATATGTTAGGCTGAATTTAGCCCAGTTTAGGCTGTTGTGGAACCATATCCTAACATTTCTATTTATAACAACAGACCTAAGTCTCCTTCAACTGCTCTCTATACCTTGGAGTGTCCCTTGTAAGGCACTTGTTCAGCTACAGCAACTTTCCTGTGGCATGAAAAAAGCATTGATTAGATTATGTTCCCTCAGCTTGTGAAGACACAACTCTATCAGAACGCTGTAATTACATAAGGTCAAAAAGAAGTATAATCAACTGAAAATGTTTGCTCTTACTAAAAAAAAAAATCCTCCTGTAAGTGCCATCTTATTTCCCTGTTTGTAACTGTCATTTGTGTACGTGTCCCTTAATACTGTTGCTGTGTCGACAGCCTTGCACAGCTCCAAAACCCAGTGCTTTCCCTTTCAATGTAGAAGGTCACCTTGTAGCTCTTACCAGCCCCTGGTAATGTAACACTTCAAAGCATGTGCTCAAAGGACTCAGTGGCAGTCCTTCAGCCACCAAAATGTACCAGCCACCAGCAGTGTCCCAAATTAAGGACCAACCAGCTGAACAGCTGGCAATTAGCAATTGCTTATTCTTAGATTCAGGATATCAGACTTTTAAGTGTAGAGAGAATGAATAATACAGCCTACACAAAACTTACAAATTCTATTTGATATTATCACTTCCCCATTTGCTTGTGAGGTAATATTTTATATATGTCTTGGCAAGGACAGCATGGCTGGAGGCTAAGTGTGTGCCTGCCTCTGAATGGGGTGGCTGCCAAAGACTATCTGCATAAGTCTTTCCTGAATAAAATAGCTAAGTTTCTGCAAATTATTAGGAACAGACCTCCCCAGATTGTCTGGAGAGAGCAGAGAAGAAAAAGAAAGTAGCAGAACTAACAGCAATAAAAACACACAGGAAAAAGTGATATCTAAAGGTAAGTTGATCAGGAAGTTCCTCTACTAGATCAATGCTTTACTGGCTTTAACTATCTCTAGAAGAACAGAATTTCAATCTGGAGTAGCCATGCTGATGTGGGAAGGATGTGTAAAATCCTTTGGGGTCCTGGCATTGCTTGATTTGACAGGGTTTCCATCCTTCATAAGGGTTTTAAGAGAGTCTTGTTTCACTTACCCAAATTAAAGGCATCAATTCAATGAGATACAACAAAAAGGTAGTTTAGAGTACAGTCATAACACAATTATTATTGTTTCCATCAGCCACTACATTTTCATTTTGGAGCAAATTCTGGTTCAGTTAAATCAGAGTTACAGTTTTATAATGCCACATCAGAACAGAAAATAGCTGTTTATCTTTCACTATGGGCAATGTTGCAAAATGCAAGTCTGTGGCTCTTCAAAAGGTGATAAAATCTGTATAGGTTAAAACCCTTAGTACATTTTCACCCATACCTGGCACTTATAGTACACAAAGACAGCACAGATCTCTCAGCTTCACATACGACCCAGCTCTTAACTCCCAATGCTCTTCTCACAGAGTCACCCTGAAAGCCTTGAAAAATATGGAGCAATTTAAAGTCTGAATGTCCCCTGGGCTGAGATGATTCTCAGAATATTTACAAAGGCAGGGGGAGGCATCTCCTGCACTTCAAAAAATATTTCTCTCTTCTGGTGAGAGGGGGTCTCCCTTCTCTCCACCATATAGAGCCACCATATTCACATCCTCAACACATCTTTAAGAGGCAAAGGGCTGCAATTCGCAGGTCAGAGGCAGGTTACATTGTACTTGGAACATCTGGTGACTTTATTCTCTCCCTGGTTGGCTTCCCAATCAAATTGGACTAAAAAGCTCCTGAAAATCTCTTAGTGAGGAATCAAAGTAGACTTTAAAGTTTTGGTCAAACTTTTTAACCCAAAAGATAGTAACTGAAAAATATACAAAAGTCTGCAGGTTAAAACACTTTTTTCTTGAAGAAGACATATGTTCCATAGCTGTATAGTCAAGTGCTTCCAGACTCTTGGGCCAGCAGAAATGGAAGGCATTTTCTTTGGAAAGTCTGAGCAGAAATATATGCCTCAGCAGCCTGACAGACACAGTTCCAAAGATGTTTCAGAGGATTTCTGTCAGTTAGCTAAGCAATGAAGCCTGAAAAAAGTTTCCAAGCTTGAAACTTTGATTCATCTCTAAAGAGCTAAAGGTGATTTGAGTAGCCACATAGCGGCGTGAGAGTCCTGAAAACAGGCCAGTCCAGCACAGACAGAAACCACAGACAAATACTGCAGTGACACTGCAGACTGTCCTGTCTCTGCCTTTGCTGCAGGACAGGTCTGACAATGCTTTACAAAGAGCTGGTAAAACCATTTAAAGAGGAAGCAACAATCCCTAACAAACAGTTGTATTTAATGGGGAAATTCACAGTGATGGTAAATATGACTAATCAGCAACTTTTTTTTCAGTTGATACTACCTGCTATCTCTTTCTTTGTCAATCACCATGGCAAGAGATGGGTACTGCTCCAACAGCAAATGGCATCCATCCAAAGAAACCACTGTAAGCATTCAGGTCCTGTATAAGTGACATGGAGCCTGTTGTAAGCAAAGGTCTGAACATACAGGGATGGAGCTGCTTAACTCCAGCTCCTGTGTTTTGGGGTGTACAAATATCATATCCCATTAGGAGCCTAGGACCAAAACACCCCTGTGTAGGGTGAGCCACAGAGGCCACCGAGACATGGCCGGGCATATGGAAAGGCAAAGGTCTCCAGGTGCTGTTTCCAAGCATGCCTATGCACAGTGGAGAGCAGATTTGGAAGAAGAGGAGGAGTGTCTGTAGCTCCTTCCAGAGGGTCGCAGAAGATGAAGAGCCACATAGAGGAAAGGAATTTTCCCCTCCAGCTCTGATCAAAGCAGGGCGTTTGGGATTGGTGACTCAGTCTGTGATTCATGCCCTGGTCTCCTCTGGTTTCCGGAGCAGCATGCTGCTGGTGGATGAGGGCAGAGAGTGAAGTCAACAACCTACCTCTGAACAAACAGAGAGGAAGAGAAGGAAGGAGGAGGAATTGCTCACCAACTGTGCAATGAGCAGCAGGCAGGCAAGTCAGGGTGTTTTCAACTCATGTTTACCTTACCCACAGCTCTGACCTGGCTGGTTCCAGCCGAAGGCATGAGCAAACCTCTGTTCTTGGTTTTCTTGGCATGGGTAAGCACCCTGAAAGATTTGTTTGCTTTTCAGATTCGAATACACTCTCACACCCAAAGCAAAATAATCAAACCTCTGAACTGCAGAAGGGCTCAGTTGGAACTGTAGGAAAATCACCTGGCATTGGAAAAGGACTGCCAGTCAGCCTATGACACTCAAACCTGGCCAGGGACTTCCACACAGCCCATCAAATCTGGCCTTGGTTTCTGTCTGTTTTTCATGGTTACATGGTACCTCTTATTTTCCCTACTTGATAAAAACCTGGGGCAGGGGCACCAGAGCAAGCACTTCTCCTCAAGGCTGGTGCAAGGCTGAGCATATTTGGGATGGGAACGACACTGAATACTGACTGCACAGTTCCTCAGATGCCTGCACTTCAGCTGTAGAACTTTCTGTAACTTACTCTGTTCAGATTAACGCTAAATTCAGACCAGACCTGCTGTCCCCAGCACAGAAGGCCAAAGTGAGTCCTGAGCCAGGTGTGTTGGAGTGGCACGAAGGGAAAGACAATTCTTTAGCACAGCCCAGCAGCAAGCTGAGCTTGCTTTTGGAAAGGCCTCTCAGGTTATGCAAACACAACGTCTTCAGGCCTGACCATCTATATGTAAATTCTAAACTATGGAGCTGGGATTAAATCACTTGTA